CGCCTTAGTGCACATTGCCAAACAAAAACAAATTAAAATCTTATGAAACAAGTTGCAAAAGCTATTGATAAACATAGGAATGGTCCAGAGTGTAGGAAAATAGATGTTAAGATTCGTTAGGCTTGGACCTTATGTGGTACAGTACAAACATGAGTACAAAGGCAAAAACAAAGGTGGCTAAGACACAGTGACGCAAAGTAGGAGAGAAAAGGAAGTGAAATGTAAACCATTAACCATTGTCTAGCAGATGACCAACATAAGGTCACTGTGCTTCCTGTTCAAAGAATGTTTAATAGCTGATGCTATTATTTATTAATAGAAAATACTTTCTTTTTGTTTTTTCTAGTTAAAATCTTATGTAAGCTTTGTAATCACAAAATGTTGGCTATAAGTCAAGTTTAACAAGTTTAAATGTATAAAAAGCAGGCTTTTAGAATAATAAACTAGAGCTCTCTACATCATCCTGGTGTGCAGACTCTCATTTTCGCCGACTTCGTCCCTCACCTGCTCTTCACCAAGAAACCCCTCGAGTTTCTTGTCACGACCGTGGTCGGGTGGTCGGTGACATGTGAGATGAAGCTTTATCACCTTTGCCTCCAAGTAACACTTTGGCTTCACCTTCTCCAAGACATGTCTGTTTGTTCCTTATAGTAAGTCATACTTATCACTGCTGAATTGATTTTTACTCAAAACAACTCCATAGAAGAGAGTACAACTATTTGACTGTATGGATCATAAAAAATTACGGCTAACATTGAGAAGAATGGGAATCCCATTATGCTTGAAACCTACAACTAGACCAAGAAGTGCTTGTCGAAACAGATTACAGGAACTCTGAATGGTTTTAAATCAAGAAAGGTGTGCTGCAGGGTTGTGTCATTCCTTCATACCTATCCAAGCTGTGTGATGAGCAAATCATTCGTGAAGCTGTACTTTATGAAGAGGGAGGTGGTATGGAGATCAGAAGAAGACTCATCAACAACCTATGTTAGGCAGACGGTACAATCATGCTTGCCAAATGTGAGGAAGACTGAAAATTCTTGCCGCAGAAGATCAAAGACCACAGCCTTCAATATGAATTACATCTCAACATTAAGAAAAGAAAAATCCTTACCATTGGGCCAATAGGCAATATCATGATATATGAAGAGGAAATTTACATTGTTAACGATTGTGTCCTACTTGGCTCCACAATCAATACCTTTGGTACTAGGAGCCAAGAAATTAAAAGAAATATTGCATTGGGAAGGTCTGCTGTCAAGGATCTCTCTAAAGTGCTAAAAAGCAATGATGTCAGTTTAAAGACTATGATATTCCTGATATAAACCATGATCTTTTCAATTACTTGTTCTGTATCTGAGAGTTGGACAACATATAAGGATGATAGAAAAAGAATCATTGCCTTTTAGTGTTGGTGTTTGAGAAGAATACTGAATATCCCAAGGATTGCTAAAAAGAACAAATATGTCTTGAAGGAAGTACAACTAGGGTGCTCCTTAGAAGCAAGGATGGAGGAATGTCATCTCACATACTTTGGACATATTAACAGGAGAGATTCTTGCGAGGTCAAAGACAATGAGAATGATACAAGATGACATAGTATTCCTATGCATTGTTCACAGGGTCGCTATGAGTTGTAGTAGACTTGATGACACCTACAAATAACAAGATTTTCAAGGCTATAATCTGCACCAAAGCAGACTACCTCATCTTTCCCCCACAGAGCAGCTGGTGAGTCAAAACCATCAACCATTTGGTTAGCAGTTGGGTGTGTAAGCACCACACCCTCAGGACTCCTTTCTAAAAGAATGCAACAGAATCTGATAGTATAAAGCTTGTTTCTGTGATGTATTTCCTCAAATGGAAAGTAGGCAGAGACAAAGGAGGAGGTGGAGTGGAACGCCATAAAATGTAAGTTCCAAGGGAATGAATCCCCCTGTGTCCTCTGTTGTCTCTGGTTTTCAAAGATGTTAGGTAGATATTTATTTGATCAACAAATGAATTAATAGTGGATATTCAATGAGCATAAATTAACAGACGTCTAACAGGATATGAAGGGCCTACATGAGGACTATTAAAGGGATGAGGTGTGATAAAGTTTGAGGACCATTGGCACAAAATGAAAATAAGTACACATGTCAAGAATAAGAGAATATTTATTATTCTTCATTTCTCTCCGGCAAGACTGGGCTTTGGTGAAGGGATGAAGGGCCCCCTTGGAGACATTGCTGGAAGAAAACTCTGGAAGAGCTTTCTACGCACAGTGGATATTGTCATGGGCAGTCGCCAGCACTCTGCTTATCAGGACAACAAATTCCCTAAAATTAATCTGTGCGTCTCCATCTCTATCCAGTTCCTGGAATATTTTGTCAATGGTAGATTGATCTCTGGTATTCTAGAAGAAAGGAATAGCAGATAGTGTAAGCTCAGAATCTCCAAATAAAATCTTCCCCTCCTTTCTCTAAGCTCCCTAATCCCTTTAAAGTCATCTTATGGAAGAACCTGAGAACATTAATTCATTAGCCAAAATTATTGAAGTGAATCTAACATGACAAAACAGAGGAAAGACTGAAAAATCAATGGTGAACCATCCTGGAATCATATAAGTTTCACCTGGAAAGGTGCTTGAAGATCATCTTACTTAGCCTTTCCCTGCTTCCCTCTACTTTACATATGAGAAAACAGCTTCCAGATAGAAAAGAGTGGAAAACCCAAGGTAATAGGTAAGTCAGGAAAAGAGAGCAATTGCAGCACCTGGCCTACAGCTGGCAGAGAACGTCCTTAGGACTCTAACTTGGACAGGTCTTTCCTCCAATCCTTGTCCCACCATCAGTCTTTCAGCCTCAGTGCTGCCTTCAGTGGGGCAGCTTGAAGTCAGAGTGATTACCTACCTTGAGGGTATTTGGAAGTTCCCTTGTGATCAGCTGCTTCAGCTCACTCTTACTGAGGGTGTCAAAATCTCCCACCCTCACTGAGTACTGGTGGTAAATATTGATGATTCCCTCCATGTGTTCTTCCAGCTTTGACATCTTCCTGACCTGGAGTTAACCTGTGAAGAAACACATGAGATCACACACACACACACACACACACACACACACACACACACACACACCCCTACTGCCACTCTTTCCTCTCTCTCTGCACCAAAGATTTAAGAAGGCCATGACTCTCAGGGCTCTGTGTTTGATTTTTGAAAATGCAAATGAATTTTCATTTATGGATACGATGAGAAGGACATATAACTAAAATCTAGAAATCTGGGATGGCCCACAGTGTCCCCTGCCAACCTGTTCACAAAAGGAGATTTTCCAGAAGTTATTATTTCCTCAAGCTGATTTGGGAAGAGCTCTGTATTTAATCAGGCTCTCCACATTCCTACATGTGATCACTGGGTCACATATCCCAGTTCCATCCCTAAATCTTCAGGTTGTGTTTACTTAGTACAGCAAGAACTGCTCTATTTGGGACAAAATGTGGTCGGGCAAGTAGGAGATGATGGCTCCCAAATGCCTGCAAAGTAGCAACCTGCAATCAATACCTTATGGTTCAACCAAGGAAAATACACTTACCTTTGATTCACAGGTAGCACAGAAGTTGTAGCAAGAAGCCACAGTAGTGAGGGACGCTGTGCCAAGTTGGTTTATATAAGACACTCCAGACTTGCTCTTTCACAGTCAGTGAGGAAATTCTCTCTCTGGTTCATCATGACACAATTGCTGAACATGTTCTATTGCTCAAGAGGAACTTCTAACCAGTGGCTTTGACTACAACACAGAAAACTCAGATTGCAACCACCCCACATTCCACCCTTTGCTCGGATTGATATAAACACCCCTACCTCACTCATCAATATATATATCACAACTTAATCCCAATTCTGGCTTTCAGAGGTCATTCTATCCACTAATCCCTAATAAAGGGTGAAGGGAGCCAAGTTCATTACTTGGCAAGGGAAGGAGAGGAAGATATTTTTGCCGAGTGTCCATTATAGGAAAAATGCCAATGGCAATAGCAATAGTAAAGTGAATTTTCAGTCCTAGAAGAGAGAAGGCATAAAATAAAAGGGAAAGAACTTTGAGAAAGCCAAACCCTTGTGTGAGTTATTATTGTTGTTGCTGTTCGGTGTCATCTAATTGACTCTGACTTATAGCAACTTTGTGAACAACAGAATGAAACTTTGACCAGTCCTGTGTCATCCTCACAATCTCTACACACTTCAAGCTGGTAGTTGGATTCATTGTGTAAGTTAACCGCATCAGAGTCCTGTTCTTCTCTGATTCTCCACCTGTCTATACACAGTCCCCCTTCCAAAGAATGGCCCATCCTGGTAACATGACCAAAGTATGTGAGACAAAGTCTTACCATCCTTACCTGGGAGGAGCACCTTAGTAGTAGCACAATTAGCTGGACAATCACTAAGGAGGATAGAAGGAAAATTGATGCCTTTGAGCTGTGGTGCTGGAGAAGAGTATTGAGGGTACCATGGACTGCTAGGAAAACAAACAGATTCATCCTGGAAGGAATCAAACCAAGTGGCGCTTTGGAGGCAAGGATTCTGAGGCTTCATCTAACATATTTTGGACTTGTTGTAAGGAGGGGACCGGTCCTTGGAGAGGGACATCATGCTTGGTAGGGTGGAGGGAAAGTGCAGGAGGGGAAGGCCCTCTATGAGGTGGATTGATTGACTGGGGCAATTGGGATGGGTGTATCGGAGATGGTGCAAATGGCACAGGACAGAGCGGAGTTTATAGAGTGTTGTACATAGGGTTGCTATGAGTCGCAAACGACACGACGGCACATAACAACAACAAACAATTAAGTGTTCTGGAGTTCTTATTCTTTTTACATCATCCATAATTTATTATGATCTACACAGTTGGGTATCTTTATTTAGTCCAATAAAACCTAAGTAAACACTTTTCTGGTATTCTCTACTTTCAGCCCAAAATCCAACTGACATGAGCAAAAAGAGTTCTTTTTCCATGTTTTCTTTATCATATGCGCTACTTCCAGAAATGATTCCGTGTTGCTCAACTCTTTTTGATACAGTGACTCTGTGTATTCTTTTCATCTTGATTTGATGCTTCTTGCATCATTCAATGTTTTGTATTGCAACTCAAGGCTTGAATTTGCTTTTTGGTTCTTTCCACTCATGCCTTGTCTTCTCTGGTTGCCTTTGAAGTATTCTGCTCTATTCTTTTCTTCCTCATGTCTTCTCTTTGTTTCAGCTTCTTTCTGTTATTTAATAACAAAGCACTTGTCTTCTGCATCTTGAAGAGCACTCGCTACATTAACATCAGTCAGCTGTCAGTTTCCTGTACTGTGTTGCCTTCTGTGTTCTGTGGTTCTGGAAGCTATGTCATGGTTTGGCCATGACATCCATAAATTCAACATCCATAAGTTTGGTCATCCCATGGATGACCAAAAGAACAAACAAATACGTCTTGGAGAGGGTGCAGCTGGAGTACTTTTTGGAGACAAGGATGATGAGGCTTTGCCTCACATACTTTGGTCATGTTGCTAGGAGGGGCTATTCCTTGGAGAGAGACATGATGCTTGGAAGGGTAGAGGGTTGGTGAAGGAGAGGAAGACCCTCAACCAGGTGAATTGACAAGGTTACTACTGTTGCAATGGGCTTTAATGTGTCAGGAGGTGTGAAGGTGGTACAGGATAGAACAAGGTTCAGATCTCTTGTTCATAGGGTCGCTATGAGTTGTACTTGACAACATCTAACAATAATAACACTGTAATTAATGTTATTAAAAATGTGAATGAATAATCAAATGAAATCATAATTTCAATGTTCTAAAACAAACAAAGAGAGAGAGACAGAGACTGACAGAGAGAGAGAAGGAAGAGAGAAATCTAAACATAAAGAATCCACATATACAGGAAGGAGGAAGCAATTAAAAGGGAGTGATTTAACTCATTAGTAGAGCCTTCAGTCACCTGAATTGAGAGCCTTTGCTGAGATGAAACTTCAAGGAGTGATAGCTGGAGACACTGAACTCCAGGCACTCTTCTCACTTTTATTGAATCTGGGCAAGAACTAGATGATTTTCTGTATCAGCTAATAAACTGAACAGAAGACTAGGTTGGATTTTTTTTTCCTCTTCCCATAACACACCTCTGTAGGGACCGGGAGAGGGAAATCCTACCCCCTACTGCCCAGTAAATAGAGAGGATCTCAATGCTGCCATATGCTAGCAGATAGAGTTGTGCTGCCAGCCCGAACGTGAATGGTTCAGATCTACCAAGTGTTCTATGAGAGAAAGACAGGAAACTTCCTTCAGTGCAGTTTTTTTTTTAAATTTTTTTTTATTTTATTATTTTTGTGTGCGTGTACCGTCAAATCAGATCTGACTGGTACAGGAGGAGATTGCCCCTCCTTCCCCGGCAGAGCATTTGGTGGATTCGAACCATGCACCTCTGGGATTGTAGTTGCAGCTTCTTGCCACTAGGCCACCAGAGCTCCCCGCCTTCAGTGCAGTTTACAGTCTCTGCAAACACATTGGAGTGTGGGAAGCCAAATGTTAAACTTAATAGTAAACCAAATGCTTAATCAGAAACTGAAAGAGGCACAAAACAAGCTGGAATTTCTCTTGTAACAGATTACAAGGAACAAGGTAGCATTTCTCCCGAGGCAGATCACAGAAATAGGCAAACCAGGTGTCATCTGCCACCTCCAGTTTGTCCTTGTGGTTTCATCCTCCCTGAGATAGCAAAAGAATGTTAGAGAAAACTATAGGTTCACTAGTAAAGAACTTTTCTCTGTGATTTATCTCCTGGCAATTCTCAGTAAAGGCAAGAGAGACTCTAGGCTCGAGGATGCTGAAGTCTCGGAGCTCTACACCCTCTGCCTTAGCTCTCTGGTCTCCCCCTCATTTCTTGGTGTCTCTGTCTCATTCATTCTTCCCAGATGACAACACTGGAGGATCAATGCTCAGTCGTTTCTGAGTTGGCTATAACAACAGTTTTGAATTTACTCTCATCAGTGGCCATCTGGGAAGGCCAGGCATCTCTTCTTCCATTTCTATTTTCTCTTTCTACGTCACATTTTGTCTCTTTTCCACTCACCCACTTTACAGTTTTCATTTTTACTAATTTTCTTTTTCTCATTCAACCATATATATATTTCCCCTCTCACAGGAGAGGAGGGAGGGAAAAAAATCCAGTATCAAATTAGGACTAAAACACAAATGGAGGTTGTACACCAATGTTCATAGCAGAGTTATTCACAATTGCAAGAACATGGAAATAACCCAAATGTCCAACCACCGTATAATGTATTGAGAAATTGTGGTGTATTCACATGATTGAATACTACACAGCACTCAGAAGCAACGATTTAAAAAAATACTACATAACTTGGGAGAGACTGGAGAGCATTATGCCAAGTGAACTAACTCAATGTCTTAAGGACCAAAATGGCATAAGGTCATTATTTGAAAAATAGAAGAATAGTAAAGCAGGTATGGGGGCTCAAGGGGGAAGGAGTGGGAGCAGAGGAGTGAGGGTGGTGGGAGGAGATCACAATGTAGCACAATTTTGTGGGTAGAAGGAAGGGTTAAAGGAAAGGGGAAAGATTTGATCTAAAATGATGGGGTAATGGTGGACATAATTTAATAGTAATTAATTTTATAAAACTCAATATACGGGAGTGACTGTATTAAACACAATGTGAATGAAGGAAAGTGTGAAACACAATATATACAAATTTTGTATGCAAACAAATACAAAACAGTATCTCCATGTTAGTCTACTACATCCATCATATCTACTATCTACTTTCCTAAACTACTCATATCATAAGCACTCTGTCTTGCACTACTGAATCAGTAACATCCATTCTTGCCACCTGTAGTACTTTTCACAACCAGTAAATGAGTATCTATTCCTAAACTCTACTTTCCCTTTTCTTGACTCTATTATCAACAATCATGAAAACTTTAATCAAGAAATCAAAAGACACATTGCCTTGAACAAATCTGCTGTCATGGACCTTTCTAAAGTGATAAAGAAATAG